CATCAGGGCTCCAAGTTTTTTCTCTCTCTCTCTCTCTCTCTCTCTCTCTCTCTCTATGATGGCGGACATGGTTTCGCTGGCGAAGCGCTACTCTGCTCCTGTTGCTCTCCTCATCCTGGCTATCTTTTGGCAGCTCCTCATCCTTCCTTCTTCTTTTCCTCATTCACATTACGATGGTAGCTTTTCATTATCTCTAACTCATGCAATTTCCTAGGGTTTGATGAATCCCATGCTCAGTATTATTAGATTTTCCTTTTTTGCTTCTGTCAATTAGATGAAATTCATTCTTAACTAATTGTTTCGATGTGTTTTTCATCGTCGTTGTTCCTTTTTTCTCATTTACTTAGTTCCTTTTTGTTCAATGGATGTGGTGATTTCTGTCAAATTGTAGCCACATTGACTGCAACTTTATCGAGCCATAGAAATCTGTTCATTGAGTTATTTTTAATTTTCTCATTGAATGGTTTAATTCCTTACGTGTTATGCGTGTAACTGCTACAATCAGCTTAATGGCTTTATCTTTCATATGGATATCCAAACTGCTCATGTGTTGCATGAACACTAGCATTCACTTCTATAAAATTATATAAAATCATGTATAAAAAATATAGACATTGGCACTCATTGTTCATTCTGCTTTTTTTTTTAATGGATACAGTCCTTAGACTTTCTTGTGTTAAAGTTAAGCTGGAACCCTAAAACCCTAAGAACTGTAGAAGTAAGCTAAGTAATAGTTCAGTCCATCTGATTGATGATGAACTAATCCTAGTTCCAAACTCTTTATCAGAGGAGGGTTTTACTTTTACCAAGATTTCCCCCAAAGGTTCTTAATTGGGATCGAACTTTAAAATATTTAGCATAAAACTTGAACATCAATCTAGTAATTACTCTCCTAGTTTTTTTGACTACGGGAACTGCTATCCCAACACTTAATTTTTGCTCCACATGTTTGTGCGCGTCCGTTCCACATCAAGCCGTATAGACTGCAGAAACTTGTTGGTAATTTTAGATACACTTAATGAGTTTTGATTAATTTAAGAAATTTGTATTGTAATGAGCTTTCTGACACTTCAACTCTTCAGACTCCACAAGATACTAGATGGAAACTTTAGATATACTTCGGATTAAATTTAGAAAATGGTAGTGTACTAATTTCTATGTAATGATATTACTTTTACATTTGCCACACTGTTCTCTTGCAAGTTGTAACTATACCTTTTATAATCGAATCAAGTGTAATTTATTAAATTAATTATCATTTATCATAATAACTACACATAAATACATGCATGTGCGCTTACATGCATTCATGCTCTTTAAAAACTTATAACACAAGTGAGGTGTTATTAAAAAAAAAAAATATACATGAGAGAGAGACTGGGAATGGGGCAGGGGCATTGGTGGTTACGGGCACGTGCCTCAACATAATGTCCTAGGCTCCATTCCAGTGTTAACACTTTTTTGAGAGAGATGGGGGGTGGCAAATATACTTCTAGTTTAGAACCAGTGATTAAAAGGTTGAACTTGGCCTCCAACTTGTTGTTAGGGTCGCATGCCTAAGTTAGATGGCCCACTTGGCTGATCTATAGAAAAATACATAAAACTCAATGACTTGGGTTAGACTTGGTTATAGGTTGTTGCGCTCTCCCTCTTATGAGTCTTACTTGTCCTCTTTGATTCTCGCTGCATTAAAGTGGTATCAAAGCTAAGTTTGTTCATGCTGGATTAGAGATATGATCGCTTCCCACGAGTTCCTTGAGACCCGAGTTCCATAATTGTTGGCCGGCTCGACTCAGAGGTTGGATCAACTGATGGATCTTGTGATCCATCGATCTACAAACCCTGGAGGCATGTTCGGTGAGTATGAACTACATGAGATTTGCGCTAACCACCCTACACCTTTTGGAGTTTTTTCCAAAATGTTCAAAATAGAATCCATTGTGGGTGTCTTTTTGGATTGCAAGATTGAATCACCACTTATTTTTAAATCTAAATGTGATGAGGTCCAAATGAAGTGATTGATGAAGAAGAGGTGATCAATGAAGTGAAAAGGATTTTAAAGATTTTAAACTTTTGAAGTTCAATAGCAAGTTTTAAGACCCATTTCTAGGAGGATTTTTTAATGGATTGCAACTATTGTTTACAATGGATTTTGTTCAACCACATAAAGATACACAAGATATTGTTATATTGAGATCCAATGAAGGAGAACCAAACTGAATGCTGTGATTGCACTGCCAACAAACAAAAGTGTAGCCCAAAGTACAATTGGGAATGCAAAATAGCTAGAACATTAGTCTCCATAATAAGGGATCTTATAGTGGACTCGACATAGTGGATTCGAGGTCTAGTTCTTTTGGAGAAGGGGTGAATGATGCCTCCATCTTCTGACGAGCATAACTTTTCACTCATTTGTTCCATCATCGTGATTCAAGTTGCATTCAAAGACTATTTTTAGGGTATTTCCATAATTTTGTTGTTTTGGCCTCAAATCTAAGTTTAAAAAATAGGCCTGAAAATAGTGACTACTTTAGATCTAATTAGGTTCTGGGTATTTATTAATTATTTGGGGCATTTTAGAGTTTTTAATTGTTTCTTGGATCTTAAGTTAGATTTAGGGTTTTATATGCTTATAAATTAAATATTATATGTCCACTGTGAGGAGGATGGGAATATTTACTAAAATTTGTATTAGAACTTTGAGTTCTAGTGCTATGAAGCTTGATAAATGGTTGTTTAGCTCTTCCTTTTTTGATTTGTTCTCATCCTCTCCGATTCTTGCTGCATCAACTTGTCAAACAACATGCATTCCAAAACAATAACTCTCAGTTGTGTTTTCCTGATTTCCTTTTGGTACAAGCCGCTATTTCACACGAAACGTTTTGTATGATATTTTCATAAAATGATAATTTAGGTCAACACAAGTTCCCTTCCCCGATTTCTTGGTATTCATTTCTTCGCTTTGTGCTGCAGGTTTTTTCATTGAATGAGCCAGTCAGTGAATCAAATGTTTCGTGCTTTTAATATTTCAATGTTATGAAGCGTCTTTTTTATTTCATTTAGCATTTTTTTAGTCCATGCTATGAAATATGGAATACATGTTTTGTTCTGAACTTTCTTTTCATTTCTTGTAGTTTGTATCGTTTTGTGAGAGTTTTCCTATTTATATCTGTTCTCTTATAATGCCCCATTCCTTATTATGTTTCAGCCATTGGGGTTAAACGTTTCAGCTCTATTGAAGAAGTTAGCGAAGCATATGGGAGGCTATTGTCTGAATGGTGCTGTACTAAGCTTCTCTATTATGACATTCTATTGCTCTTTCTTTGTTCACAGATTGTATTTCAGACTTTCAGTTAACCATTCTTTGGGTCATTTAATGTCAAAATGTTTGTATTTAATTCTAATTGGAGATTTCAGCAAATATTGCTGTTTTACTGTTTCAATAATTGTAGCGCATGGGACCATTGCTCTTACCTGCATGTGATAAACGTGTTACTGTAGTTTCTTTATTAGAAGATGTCATCTAGTATCTCTTGTCTTCATCAACTAGAGGTCATTGAGGGTATATCAAGAAACTTTGGTGTGTGCTCACTCATGGACAATTGTGTCTTACTTTTTTCCTTGTCAATAATTCACACAGTTTTATGCATGCCAACTTTAGCATCCGACAAAATCCAATATATTCATTAGGATAGTATATTTTTCAAGGACCTCATGCATCTAGCAAGCACAGTGTTTAGAGATTCGGCCGAGGTCACTTGGACTCAGCCAAGGTCACTTGGACTCGGCCGAGTTACTCTTTCCCAAGTTGGCTGTACATCATGCATGTATCAATAATATATATAATATGTGAATTTTGATGATGAATACCTTCAAATTGCTTGTTGGGTAGAATGTGTGGCTATTGTTCATCATGTTGCGGTTCCAATCTCCTCGTGAACATCGCCTGATGTTTTTTTTGTACTTAGCCTTTTTTCTTCTTACAAGTTAAAGAATAGTTCCAAAAACTCTAGTTTGGGGATCGAGCTCGAGATATCTCGGGCTAAGAGGCACACAATGGCGGAAAAGATAACCAGTGCACCATTTTGGGTTTTATGCAAATATTTTGCAGATTATAGATATATATTCAATTTTTTACCTTTATTTTTGTTACTTTTTAATTTTTTACTTTTTAACTTGGCTTGGACTCGAGCGAGTTACCCAGACTTGCCCAAGTAACTCGCCTTGGCCAAGGGCTGAGTACCTTGGCCGAGCCGAGTCCCAAACTCTAAGCAAGCACGATGGAACTTATCTTTTATGCGTGGTTGTCTCATCTGCTTGCTACAGACTTTCGCTATCTCTTTTCAATAGCATGTCTTCCCTTCGCCCTTGTCTTGGGTTTGCACTCTCTTTATTAGAATTGCTTTCGTTGTTTTATTATGAAGAAATTTTCTTTTGAGTATGAAAATTTTAATCGTGAGTTTATTTCCACATGCCTAGGAAATGCCCTTAATCTACTTTAAATGGATCGTTTAGATGTTTTCTATATTGTACTATTTTTTTTCTTTTTCAGTCTATTGACATGTTTGGGATCCGCATTGACAACTGACTGTAGTTACATACACCACTAGGCTACAGGTTGTTCTGGGTAGTTGCTTATGCTGTTTGTAACCCCTGTGCAGTGGTTCTTAAATACTTCATTTATTAACTTGAGCCTTGAGGTATTGCAGGGAAAATGATTAAACTTGAGAAACTTAATCTGTTACACAAGTTGAGCCTTAATTGTGGGGTGTGAAACTATTTCTTATTGGATTTGCATAATTTGTCATCGATATTGCTTCTCAGCCTGAATGAGAACATATCTGTTTTAATAATTTTTTTTCTTGTTGTTTTCTATTATATCTTAGTTACAAGCATATGGAGTTTATCTGACACTGCTACTCTCCAGGAATTCCGGCAAGGTGGTGCCCAAAATAGATGACTTTATTAAGGTCTGAATTGATGTCTTTTCTTGTTTTATTAACTCTTTCAATCTTTGTTGTGGCATTTTTCATAAGAAATTAAATGTGTATATTCTGTAATATTCAATAATTTTTCTCCAGTTTTACTCAATGCTTTATTATATGTCCTTGTGTTATTCTGTCAGCTAAATAATCTTACTTCAAGTTCTAGGGGTGGTTATTGTTCCCTTCATATAGTTCGAGTCTGCATTTGTAATTTTTGGTAATAAATACATGCATGTGCATGCCTGAATGTCTATGAATTTATATATCTGTATGTGTGTGCGTGGGCACACTATATTCGTGGTTGTATTGATTGTTGAGGTACAATAGTTTGAAATCACTACTCACTTGAGTGGTTTATTTCTGATTTAGAATTCATATTCCTTGATGTCAGGTGCTATTATTTTTCAACCTGCTTCTATTGACATAATAAGCCATTTATTTGTGTATCTAAAGACTAATTGGCATGATGAAAGCATCACTTCAGTCTTGTTATTCTTCTGGTATTTTTAGATAAGGGATTTGCGTAACAGTATATTAACATTCCATCTTGCAATATCCTAGTAACTGATTAAATGTGCATATATTCTATGTATTTCTTTTAGGCTCGTTATGCCTTCGAGTTGTTGACCAATCCAGTGTGGAAAAGGAACTATGACACTTTTGATATCGAGGAACAATTGGTGAGATTCTTAATGAGAATGGTATTTCATTTTCTCTCTTTGTTTTGAGGAAGTTTTTGGTCTTGTTGCAAGAGCATCGAAAACTTGTGTTTACACACCTCCATCCACCATCTATTTAAATGCATGTTGGAGATTAGTAGAGAGTGAGGCCACCACTACTTCGCACTAATAAAAAACCCCCACGACTCCATTACAGCTTGATTTTTAAATGAATAATGTCTTTTCTTATTTTTCTACTGTAGCATGTTGTTAACAATGCTAAAAAGTATGGAGACAGCTTTTCAAGCGTTGACCTGCCATTGTTGGAGTCATCTTCTTTTGGTAAGTCGTATGTCTGAAGGCCTGCCCACACTGAATTAAACATAATACCTTTCTATGCCAGATTTGACTCTAATTTCCTTGTCAGTGATGTGTTTTTCTATGGTTAGACCCCACAGATGATACTTCTACCATCCTCACTGCTGAAAACTTCAAGTCAATGCTTGGCCAGAGTGGTGCATGGCTCATTCAGGTACAATTTTCAATAACATAGATTGCTGAGTTCTCTCAGTTTTTCATTGTCTGTGAAAGCCAGTTGTTTCCTTATGATGTCTAAAGAGTTATTCTGTCGATAGTCAACATACGTAACCCACTGAGGCTTTGACTGATTGTGATTATTCCAACACAGATTCATTCTTTTGGAAGCATCAATTCTGCGCAGTTTTCTGGAAGTTGGAAGAGAATTGGTGGGTGATCTTCATAACATCTTATATTATTGCAGCCTTGGGATTTATGTCACTATCTTACATTTGTTTGCACTTTTAAGGTCATTTAGTTTGTCCTTTGTTGTTCGCACTTGAACATTATTATTGATTCTACTGCTAACTCAAATTAAGTCGAACCCCAATTTGCCTTCAATTCGGCTACCCGAATCCTGATCCGCCATTTTACTCTATTAAGGGCCATACTTTCAATGAAGCCATAAAGTCCCCATATGTCTTCTCACTATTTCCAGCCATATCCTTTTGGGCCTACCCCTTGTTCTTTTTGAGCCTTCCACTTAAACTACCTCGCATCTCTTAATAGGTGCTGTATTGGGTTTGCACTACGGCCAGCCTACCTAAGTCTATTATCTCTCATCTTAGCGCCCATTGGTGCCATACTTAAATTTTCTTGAAAGTATTCATTTTGAGTTTTATCCCTTCTCGTCTTGCCACTCATCCATCTCAACATCCTCATCTACGCTACAATTATTCTATGGGTATATTGTTTTTGACGGTCCAACATTCCACTCCATAGAGCAAAGCTGGTTTCACAGTTGTCCTATAAAACTTGCTTTTTAGATTCATTGGTATGCGATGATCACATAAAATATCGTTTGCTCATCTCCACTTTGCCCACCCAACTCTAATTCTGTGTGAGTGTGCGACATCTTCTTCAATCTCTCCATTTTCCTATATTATTGAACCAAGATATCAAACGTACGCTCTTTTTGGTATTTTCTGGCAGTCAATCTTAACTACTTCCTCGTCTCTACTCCTATTACTAAACTTGCATTCTATATATTTTGTCTTTGTCTGGCTAATTTTAAAACCTTTAGATTCCAGAGCATCCCTCAAAAGTTCTAACTTTTTGTTGACGCTGTTTCGAGTCTTATCGATCAAAACTATGTCATTTGTGAACAACATGCACCACGGTACCTCATCTTGTAAGTGCCTAGTTAAGTCATCCATAACTAAGATAAAGAAGTATGGGCTCAATGCTAATCCCTTGATGTAAAGAAGTTTGAGGAAGCAGTAAAATCGACAAGAAACAAACCTAAACACAAGCATAATTCAAAGAAACTTCTTCTCTATACCCCAAGCAATGAACGAAAATTCAGCAGCCCAGCTCTTGCATTTTTTGAAAAATGCCTAGTCGTGGGCTAAGCGGCCTGTCCTAGGCCACTTTTGCTAGGTGCTCGCCTAGGTTGTGTAAAAAGGCGGGCGCGGGCGTCGTCTTGACCTGCACCAAAAATGCTATTAATTAGAAATTATTAACTTATTGATAAACCAAAAAATAGTATTAACTCAATTTCAATTAATATATGGAAGGAATAAACTTTTTATGCCATTTATCATTTTGCATGTAATAATAATTTTTAATTTATTGGTAGATCAAAAAATGATATTAATTTGTAATTATTAATTTATTTAAAATACTTTTTGCATGTGATAGTAATTATTAATTTATTGAAAATAAAAAATTGTATTAATTCACAATTATTAATTTATCAAAATACTTTTTGCATGTAGCATTAATTATTAAGTTATTGATAAACAAAAGAATAGTACTAATTCATAATTATTAATTTATCGTAAATGCCTTTTGCATGTAACAATAATTATTAATTTATTGGTAAACCAAAAAATAGTATTAATTTGTAATTATTAATTTATTGGTAAACCAAAACATAATATTAATTTAGTGTTAATTAATATATGGAAGGATGATACTTTTCATGCCACTTGTTGTTTTGCATGTAACCATAATTATTAATTTATTGGTAAACAAAAAAATAGTATTATTTTGTAATTATTAATTTATCGAAAATATTTTTTTTATGTGACGGTAGTTATTAATTTTTTGATAAACCAAAAAATAATATTAATTTGAAATTATTATATAGTATATACTAGTGTTTTAAAAATCGCTGATCCGATCCAGAATCAGGCGATTCGGATCGGATATCGGTGATACTGCTTTGGATTCAATAAGACAATGGGATTGAAGTGGTTACATTTTTTTGACTTTTATTGAAAAAATCGCTGCACGTTTGACTTTTTTTATTGAAAAAATCGCTGCACAGCATGGTAAGGCGCCTCGGTAATGCTTCACTAGCTGCATCATTGCCCCAAGCGCAAATATAACTCCTTTAAGTCATCTTGTCTTTGTTTTATAGCCCCTTCCAGTCCTTCCCCTCCCACACTTCAACAATGTGGGATATATATTACATAACAAATGAGCGGGTTTCACGCCTCCCCAACTCTCGCACTCTCTCTGTCCACCAAACTCTTTCACGCCTATATGGTCCCTCTCGCAATTTGGTCAATTGGAGAATGGCTCCATTATTGCCAAAAAAAAACAAAACAAAAAAAAAACGGCTCCACCAAAACTCTCTAGAACCGTTGAAGTATGTATAGCTATTAGAAAAGAAAAAAAATAGTACTAGCTCATAGGATATTAGAACAATAAAAAATACTATTAATACTAATTTATTGACCATTAAAAAAAATTACTAGTTTATGAGATATTTTAAGAGTAAAAAATAACACTAGCCCAAACCACTTTAAAATCTATTTTAAAGTTGCTTTGTCAATAGTACGTGATATATATAGAGTTTTGCCCAAACATGGGTGGATTGATTAAAATTAAACCTAATTGCTGAAAATTAAGATTTAATTGAATTAAATAAAATAAGAAAACAAGGTGCAAAATGACTGATTTGCCCCTTCCTAACAATTGGGGAAATTCCAGAACATTCTCTGTTGCTGCCCTAAAACATGCGTGATGTTTTATGGATGATCTGGGATGCTTTGGTACCCGTTTGTCCGAAAGATGATTGTTTTCTTGTAGGGCTCGGCATGACAATTGATTTGATACAAACTTCGAGCCATGGATTGTGTTTTTAAGCTACGATCATGCGACTTGAAATTTGGATGAATCTTGCAAACTTCGGATTGATAGTGTGCTTGTTTCTTGATGTTTTTCAGTGATTTCTTCGCTGGATCACATTAAGCATGCCGTTACGTTCGCGTGGCAACAAACGCAGCTCGATTTCATGCCCAGACCAAGATTTTGCAACTTTTGAGTTTTCGCCGAAATCTAGAATTCCGGCGTTGGAATTTGCAGCCACTTCATCGGCTTCGTGTGCGAAATCTGACCGTTTATCATGCGCGGGGTTCAGACCAGTGATAGCCATGAACCTTACGCACGCGATGCAACTAGTTTCACATTGATCGAGTTCGCGAGCGCAGTGATTTGGCCGCTCGAGCGAGGCGTCGCTGCTGATTTTCCTGCAACTTTCTTCACGGATTAACAACTTCTCTCTAGCTTTTTTCTGGGCTCGGATGTCGTCATGGGGCGTGCCACATATTGAAACGCTCGTTTTGACAAGACAAACACGTTCACAAAATTTGAGCACAATCCGACCCGGGAAGAATGAGATATGGACCCCGAAAGTCACTATTTGTGGCTGTTTCTTTAATGGAGATTACTTGCAGGATGATTGCAAGGAAATTGTGCGTGGCCTCTCCTGTTTCGGTCTTCCACCCATAACTTCTTTCTAGAGCGTCCGTTTTAGCTGAAATTTGACCCTTGAGGGTTTTCAACTGTGTCGGATTCAATGGCGGTGGTCTCACATCCGTTGATACTCCGAAAGTAGGGTTCCAGTTATAAGGGTCCGTTTCAGGGTATTAGAAGTTGATTCTGTCGTAATTGTTTCTCAGTCTGCACTGCCTTAGAGATATCGAAACGCTTTGGCAGGAGAATTTTTGGAGTCCTTATGAAGATCTTGAACTGTTCTGGGGCCATTATGAGACTATCAAAATTTCCACTGTCTGTCAGGCTTTATTGACGAACTTCTCTTTTTATTCGGCATCGGGGATCCATGGTGCTGAAAAATGTCTTCAATGAATGCTTTGTACCTATCGCCATCCGAAAACTTCTTTCGTGCGGTTTGTACCTATCACCGTTCGTGGGCTTCTCTTGCGCCTTGTGCCTATCGCAAACGGTGATACCTCTCGCCACCCGCGAAGGGTCGTGCTGCCTTCTCGTGTTGTTGACGGCGATGGCTAATGCCGTCTCAGTTCATTGCTCGCCCTTTCGTCGTGAGCAACAGTGTCCAGCACCGTTCAGGGGCCATGACACTATTACACCACGGCTGTGGGGTGGCGATACCTAACGCCGTCGGAACCTTCCTCCTTTGTCGTTTCGCGTCTTCTCTTGATTCTTTTTTCTTCTCCTCGCACTTGACTAAAGGCGACTCAATCTAGCACTGTCGTAGCGCTTGACTGTCGAGCAGTATTGCCGTCTTGCTGGTCCGGAGTATCATACTCGTCTTGCTGCCACACGAGATTAGAACAGTCATACTTCCTTGGTTTCAAGTAGTATTGCCGTCGGGTCGGTCTGAGTTACCGTGCCCGTCTTGCTACCACTTCGAGTTAGTCACGGTACTGGTCTAGCTATCATGCTAGGCTCGGCCCCTTGTCAAGTCCTCCTCTTTTTTTTCTCTTTATTCAAATCCTCTTCGTCATCACCCTAACTTCTCATCTTCTCTGCCATATGATGGTCCCTCGGCCCACTTGTCTTGCAAATTAACCATGATTGTGCTGTTCAGAAAACAAGGAGATTGCAGGTTAAGGGAGGCGATTTTGAACCAGCTAAAGCAGCTGAGGGGCTTTCTGTCGTGATCTAAGAGGGCACCCGCACGAGTCAGCCCGAGTAAGTCACGGACCCAGATGAGGTTGGTCCCCACCTCATGTATAAAATTCCTCTCTCACTAATTGGGCTCCTGTCCTTGCTCTGTCAACAAGTTTCCCAAGAGAGCGGTCTCAGGTCCCAGGTTTTCCAAACCCAAGACGCGTGTCACCCGATCGCCTAGATCTGGGGGGTGAGATCGAGGCATCCGATCAGTTTGGCGACTCCACTGTGTACTTCGGACCCCTTTGTCGGTTCGCTCTTGCTTGATCGGCATCACCTTTTATTT